ATGCTGCAATGAACATGAGTGCATATATCTTTTCCAGTTAATGTTTTCATTTTCTTCAGATAAATACTCAGAAGTGAAACTACTGGATCATATAGTAGTTCTATTTTTAAATTTTGGAGGAAGCTCCATACCGTTTTCCATAGTGGCTGCACCACTTTATTCCCACCAACAATGCACAAGGGTTCCCTTTTCTCTACATCCTCACCAACACTTGTTATTTGTTTTCTTTTTGATGACAGCCATTTTAGCAGGTGTTAAGTGATACCTCACTGTAGTTTTGATTTGCATTTCCCTGATGATTAGTGATGTTGAGTACATTCTCGTGTACCTGTTGGTCATCTGTATGTCTTCTTTGGAAAAATATCTATTTATATCCTCTGCCCATTTTTTAATTGGATTGTTTGGTTTTTGCTATTGAGTTGTATGAGTTCTTCATTTATTTTGGATATTAACCCCTTAACAGATATATGATTTACAACTATTTTCTCCCTCTTGGTAAGTTGCCTTTTAATTTTGTTGATGGTTTTCTTTGTTGTGCAGAAGCTTTTTAGTTTGATGCAGTCCCATTTGTTTATGTTTGCTTTTGTTGCCTTTGCTTTTTATGTCAAGCCCAAAAAATCATTGCCAAGACTGATTTCAAGGAGCTTACCACCTACGTTTTCTTCTACGAGTTTTATGGTTTCAAGTCTTTTTTTTTTTTTTTTAATTTTTTTTTTTAAAGATTTTATTTATTCAGTTTTTTACCCCCAAAGCCCCAGTAGATAGTTGTATGTCATAGGTTCACATCCTTCTAGTTGCTGTACGTGGGACTCGGCCTTGCGCTGGACGGAGAAGTGGTGCCTCGGGGCGCTCCCGGGATCCGAACCCGGGCCGCCAGCATCAGAGTGCGCGCACTTAACCGCTAAGCCATGGAGCCGGCCCCTGGTTTCAAGTCTTAAGTTCAAGTCTCTTCTCTGCCTGTTTTAGAGTTGCACTGAAAACTTTTACTACAGCCAATCTTGTCTCGAGGATAGAAAATGCAAAGATTATTTCTGGGGTTTGCATGCCCTGTCCTTCCCAGCACTGACAATAAAAGGGGGCAGAATTATAAGGTATTCTCACCCTGTGCTTAAGGATACTGTTGAAAGATCCTCAGTTCTACTTTATGGTGCTTGTTCAGAATTATAGTCTCAGCCCTAGATGCCCAGTCCTTCGGGTAGAGAAGTGGACTTCCAGAATTATGACTCTAGCACTTCTTCATGAATTAATTACTCCTTAATTGGCCCTCAGATTTTGTATCCTGCAACTTTACTGTATTTGTTAATTATTTATAATAGTTTCTTGGTGGATTCTTGATTTTTTTCTATCTACAGAATTTTGTCATCTGAAAACAGTGGCAGTTTTACTTTTTCCTTTCCTATGTAGATCCCTTTTATTTCTTTTTCTTGCCTAATTGCTCTGGCTAGGACTTCCAATACTTTGTTGAATAGGAGTGATGAGAGTGGGCATCCTCATCTTGTTTTTGTTCTCAGTGGAATAGTTTTTCACTGTTGGCTGTGGATTTGTCATATATGGCCTTTATTATGTTGCAGTACTTTGCTTCTATACCGACTTTATTGAGAGTTTTTATCATAAATGGATATTGAATTTTGTCAAATTCTTTCTCTACATCTGTTGAGATGATCACATGATTTTTATTCTTCTTTTTGTTAATACAGTGTATCATGGTGATTGATTTGTGGATGCTGAACCATCCTTGCTGAACCATCCCTTTATTCAAGTGGCATAAATCCCACTTGATCGTGGTGTATGATCCTTTTAATATATTGTTGTATTCGATTTGTTAATATTTTGTTGAAGATTTTTGCATCTATGTTCATCAGTGATATTGGCTTGTAATTTTTCTTTTTTGGGTTGTCCTTGTCTGGTTTTGCTTTCAAGGTAGTGTTAGCCTTTTAAAATGAGTCAGGAAGCATCTCATCCTCTTAAGTTTTTTTTGAAGAGTCTGAGAGGATAGGTATTAAATCATCTTCAAATGTTCGGTAGAATTCACCAGAGAAGCCGTCTGGTCCTGAACATTCATTTTCTGGGAGATTTTCAGTTACTGTTTCAATCTCTTTACTTGTGATTGGTCTATTCAGATTTTTCTATTTCTTCTTGATTTAGTTTTGGGAGATCGTTTGGTTGTAAGCATTTATCCATTTCTTCTACATTATCCAATTTGTTGGCACAGTTTGTCACTGTACTCTCTTCTAATCATTTGTATTTCTGTGCTATCTATTGTAATTTCTATTCTTTGGTTTTTGATTTTATTTAGTTGAGCCTTCTCTCTTTTTTTCTTAATGTGTCTGTCTGAGGGTTTGTCAATTTGGTCTTTTCAAATAACCATCTCTTAGTTTCATTGATCTTTTCTATTGTGTTTTTAGTCTCTATTTCATTTATTTCTGCTCTGATTTTTATTATTTTCTTCCTTCTAGGGACTTTGGGCTTTGTTTGCTCTTTTTCTAGTTTTTTTTAGGTTTATTCAGTTGTATTTCTATACATTAACAAGGAACTAGTAGAAAGAGAAATCAATAATACAATCACATTTACAATCACAACAAACTGAATTAAATACCTAGGAATAAATTTAACCAATGAATTGATAGACTGATACACTGAACACTACAAGAAATTATTAAGGAAATTGTAGAAGAAACAAGGAAATGGAAAGATATTCCATGCTCATGGATTGGAAGAATAAACGCGGGTAAAATGTCCATATTACCTAAAACTATCTACATATTTATTGCAATCTCAATCAGAATCCCAATGACATTTTTCGTAGAAACAGAACAAAGAATACTAAAATATACATGAACAAAAAAGACCCCGAATAGCCAAAGCAATCCTGAGAAAAAAAAAACAAAGCTGAAGGTATCACACTCCCTGATTTCAAAATATACTACAAACCTATAGTAATCAAAATAGCATGGTCCTGGCAGAAAAACAGACTCACAGGTAAATAGAACAGAATTGAAAGCCCAGAAATAAACCCACATGTCTATAGATAGCTAATCTTCAACAAAGGAGCCAACAACATACAAAGGAGAAAGTAAAGTCTTCAATAAACGGTGTTGGGAAAACTGGACAGCCACATGCAAAAGAATGAAAGTAGACCATTATCTTACACCATACACAAAAATTAACTCAAAATGGATTAAAGACTTGAATGAAAGACCTGAAACCGTAAAACGCCCAGAAGAAAATATAAGCAGTATACTCTTTTACATCAGTCTTTGCAGTACCTTTTTGAATACAATGTTTCCCCCTGCAAGGGAAAGAAAAGAAAAAATAAACAAATGGGACTACATCAAACTAAAAAGCTTCTGCACAGCAAAGGAATCCATCAACAAAACAAAAAGAAAATTTACCAACTGGGAGAAAATATTTGCAAATCATATATCCAGCAAGGAGTTAATTTCCAAAATATACAAAGAACTCATACAACTCAACAACCAAAAAATGAACAACCCAATCAAAAGATGGGCAGAGCATATAAACAGATATTTTTCCAAAGAAGATATACAGATGGCCAACAGGCATATGAAAAGATGTTCAACATCGCTAATTATTAGGGAAATGCAAATCAAAATTACAGTGAGGTATCACCTCACACCCATTGGAATGGCTGTAATTAACTAGACAAGAAATACCAGGTGTTAGAGAAGATGTGGAGAAAAGGGAATCCTCACATGCTGCTGGTGTGAACACAAACTGGTACAGCTACTATGGAAAACAGTATGGAGATTTTTCAAAAAATTAATTTAGGAATAGCATATGATCCACCTATTTGACTTCTGGGTATTTATGCAAAAAACATGAAAATCCTAATTAGATAAGATATATGCATGCTTATGTTAATTACAGCATTATTGACAATAGCTAAGACTTAGAAGCAACCCAAGTGTCCATCAATGGATGAGTGGGTAAAGAAAATGTGGTATATTTATACAATGGAATACTACTCAGCCATAAAAAAGACAAAATCATGCCATTTGTCACAACATGGATGGACCTTGAGGGTATTATGATAAGCAAAGTAAGTCAGACAGAGAAATTTCGACAAATACTGTATGATTTCACTCATATGTGGAAGATAAACAAATAAACAAAAACATAGATAAGGAGAACAGATTGGTGGTAACCAGAGGGGAAGGGGTTGGAAGAGGGCAGAAAGGGTAAAGTGGCACATATGTATAGTGACAGATGGAAACTAGCCTTTTGTTGGTGAACACGATGCAGTCTATAAGGAAGTCAAAATACAATGAAATTTATATAATGTTATAAAGCAATGTGACCACAATAAAACAATAAAGAAGTAAAAAAATAAAATAAAAGAGGTCCTCAGAGATATAATCCAGGAATGTAGGCTGATTTCCCTTGAGGATTTGCTTCCAGAGAGTAGAGACAAACTACTCCCACGGAGTAGACACTACTTCCGGGGAGTAGTGTCCCTTGAGCTTGGGACACTGGAAGAGACTTTTAGCAGGTCCCTGGGGAAATGGGGCATGGGGGTGGTGGCGTGAGGTAATTAGATCAGTTAGACTGGAGGAGGAGTACCATAAGTTCTGGAAGGGTCCATGAAACTGAGATAGTTTTGTTCCACTTTGAGGTGGAACTTTCATCAACATGCTTTCCTAAGGTCTCTACCATTTCTGGTTTAGAGTACTTTCTATGTGGGGAATGTGGTGATTACCTGGAAAGAGAGGGGTTAAGGATCAGCTCACTAACCCCTCCTCCCACTGCCCATGGGTAGGAGGGTGAGGGCAGAATATCCAATGGAGCAGGAACCTCGGGAGGAGGGGGCAGAGGGCAAGTGGGGACAGAGAGAAGAGAGACAGGTGGGATCCATCTCTTACCACCTGCCAAGCTCCCAGCCAGCTCTAGCTCCCATACGTCAGTACCTGCACATCTTCTCTCCGAGGGGCACACTGTTCCTTTTGTGTGGAGAAGGGCACTGGGCTCCCAGCACAGGAACTGGCATGGCGAGGCCATGGGTACTTCTTCTCATCTGCTTCCTTCTTCCTGGGCTACTGCTCTCAGAGGCTGCCAAACTCCTACAACTGTCCTTGATGGGTAAGTGCTTGGCCAAAGAATCCAGAGACAGGAGCTCCCGGGCACCCATGACAAGGGACAGGCAAACAGCCCTAGGTCAGAGGGTCATTTCGTATGGTTTTCCAGACTGGGCATGTTTGTTTTCCTGCCTGGAGGATGAAGAGAGAGGTGCTGTTTGTAGAGGCAGAGAAGGGCCTCCGCTGCCACAGAGGTGGAGAAAATAGTTCTGGAGAAAACAGAAATACTCTTTCCTTTCTCTTCTTACTCAAGACAAGCTCCCTATAACACAGGGCTGGGACCAGAAGTTTAAGATCCAGCCCAGTGCAGGAGACCCAGGAGGACTCCTCCAGGGCTCAGACTGGACATTCAGAGTCTTGTCCTAAACTTCTGGGGGGTGCACAGCAGTTGCCAGTAGAGACTGTGGCTAGAGTCTGCAGGCTCTTGGAGGCTGGGACCGAAAGGTTGTCCTGGGGGCAGCAGCACTAATTTTCTGAGGCTGCATGGGAGCTGGGGTGGAGCAGGGAAGATATTTCAATGACAATTAGGAGGGTGGAGTGTTTTTATCCAGGGGAAACCTGGAGAACTGATTGGGGCTAAGGAGAGGACCCTGTACATTCCAGTCTCTAGGTCCCTCTTCCTTTCACTGGTGCTGCTGGAGTGTTTGAAGGACTCATGAACTGTTAATTCTGCATGCTGTGGCCTCCATTTTATTCCCTTTACTTTTGCACCAAAGGGGATGGAAGATGAAAGGGAAAAATAAATCACTACGAGGGGGTCATGATAGGATGAGTTTCCCAAAACTTTATTTCAACCCACAGTGGGCCTCTTAGATCAATTTTAGGTCACTGAGAATCAGAGGATCTTAGAGCTGGAAGGAACTGTAAATCATCTAATTCAGCTCCCAGGATGTTTTCCTCAGAAAGAAACTAAGGGTCAGAGAAGGGAGGTGCCTGTTGCAAGTTCACACTCCCTAATTAGGACCTCCCTAATGGCAGACACCATGAGTTTACTCAGCCTTTCTTAGCCAGGACTATCCTCTCCACAGCTCCCATTCTCACCACTTTTCAGTGAAGAGTTTTATAATCACTCTTTAAGAAACCCTGTAACACCATTTGAAAGCTCTTTAATTTTTTCTTCCTGATTGTTAGTAGCGATGAAGCAAAAGAGCTTCCTCACTTATTGAAAATACACTATTCTCCTGTCTCAGACTCCCAGAGGGAGCAGGTGTGGTTGTGGGGTGCTGGAAGCCCATTCTCTGCCCCAGGATGCACTGGGGATCACCAACACACTCCATGATTGAATGCCTGTCGTCACCCCTTCTTCCTGGCTCCCAGTTCTCATATGGATTAAAGTGTGGGTATGAGATGGAGGTCATTTGTACTTTATACCTCCCTTGTTGCTTCAGACTATGCAAATTTGGGTATAAAAAACAGAAATACCTACACACCATTTCTCTAGTACTACACAACTCTGAATCCCATCTCCAAACTCATGGCATTTCCCCTTAATTTCTCTCCTGATCTGACTTCGTCTGCTGCTGAGACCCTTAGATTCACGTAAACATCTCATGTTGGAGCAGGGTCTAAGAGAAGACAGTAGTGTAATGGAACTCATGCCTCCACTGACGATGAAGCTTCTCTTTCCTTAAGATCCCAGGATTTTCGTAGGATGGGTGATGTCTCAGTCTTCATACATATAGGATCCTGCAGGCCCACTCCATGGGCCCCACAATTATCCTCAATGTCTTAATTTGATGTTCTGCATAATTCAGCACTCAAGTGAGAAAAGTCCTGCCAAATGCATTTGAATCTCAAGGATTTGCACTTTAAGTGGTGGCTCCATATCCTTATGCTCTAATGGCTGTTTCTTGGATTCCCCTTTAAGCTCCCATATTTCTGGCTCCTACACTAGCATAAATTCCCAAAGAGAAGGATCCTAGAAATAGTTCTGATTGACATTCTATTAAACCCCTTCACACTCACATGCACAGCACTGTGCCAAAATTTCCTCCAGTGTGGTTATTTCTTTAGGACACCATGTCTCCAAATGGCCCCAGCTAAATTGTAGCATGCACCTTAGGACTGGGAACTCCTTAAGGCCTAAGCACCAAGAAGCACATCACATTGACATGGAGACCAGAGTCACAAGAGGGGATCTTTGATGGAGATTTGCTACAGGTCGAGGATTTGGGCCAGCAGGGTCTGGGTGAGTGGGCTAGCGCGTACACAAATGGTTAGGGAGAGAGACTGATGAAGTTTATCTTTCTCTACTCACCATCAACTTTCTGTTTCCCTAACCCTCCTCTTCTGGATTTATCACCCCATCGACCTCAGAACTTCTGTTCTCATCATTACAATAATGAAGTTGTGCATTGTTCGTAGGTGGAAGCCATTATCTATTAATGGATCGGGTGTCTCAGATTCTTCAAGATCACGGTCACAACGTCACCGTGCTTCTCCAGAGCGCGAATTTATGGATATCAGGTATTTTTCTCACTAATTCTTGATTTCTTTACTCTAGGCAAAGAACAGTAATGTCTTTTGCATAGAAAGGTTTTTCAGATACTTTTAAAAATCTATTTGGATTGAAAAAATGAGAAAGGAGTGTGAATGTATGCGTGTGTGTTTATGAAATGTGCTGGAACACTTCTGGGCTCTGTCGACCAGGACTCTACATTCTGTAGTCCCATATTTTCCTCCTTTGCCTGTACTTCTACTCCATCCCAAGCAATCCTCTGCACTTTACTACAGATTATTTTGTAAATGCTTCTTTATAACGTGGCTTGCAAATATGTTGAACGGAAGTCTTCAGCCGTAAATAAGGTTTCTAATAGGCAAGGATCACTTTTCTTTTTCTGTAGCATAGACTAAGTTCTCCTCTTATGACATCTGAAATTGAAGGAAGCTTTCTCAGTGAGTTCCTCATTTATGCAGCTAAGATCAGAATCTATCATTGAGATGATGATGTTTTCTTGAAAAGTCAGTGGCTGCACATGAGTTTGTGCACGGTGATGCTGAGAGTTCCTAATTGAGTCATTGAATCCAAAGAAGTTTAGCTCAAATGAGCTCATGAATCTTATCAACTCTTCTCTGCTGACAGTCAAGGGAATGGCAGGTCAGAGAACTGAAATGATTTGCTCAAGGTCACGTGACAGGCTGATAATGGAATTGGGTCAATTTAGGACTCGGTTGCTCAATCTGAATTATTGTTCAGGCTTTGATTTTTCAAAAGAAAATCCAAGATTAAGCTGCAATTTTGGGAAACAAAATTTTGAGAAATTATAAAACTTGAAGGTGACTTCAGGGTTTGGTTTTATCAGATTGTTTTGAAAATTTTTTTCAGTGAAAATTTCTTTTAAGTTTTTTATTCTGGTAAAATATGCATAACATAAAATTGACCATTTTGATCATTTTTGTGTACAGTTTACTGACTTTAGGTACATTCACATTGTTGTGCAACCATCACCACCATCCATTTCCAGAAGATTTTTGTCATTACAAACTGGAACTCTGTACCCTTTAAACAATAACAGTCCATTATCCCCCAGCCCCGGATAACGACTATTCTTCTTTATTTCTCCAATTATTTGACTATTCTGGATACGTCCTCTAAGTGGAATTGTACAATATTCGTCTTTTTATGTGTGGCTTATTTCACTTAGCATAATGTCTTCAGGCTCATCCAGGTTATAGCTTGTATCAGAATTTGTTTCCCTTTAAAGGTTGAATAACATTCAGTATATGTATATACCACCTTTTATTAATCGATTCATTCATCTGTCACTGGACGTTTGGGTTGATTCCACCTTTTGGGTATTGTGAATATTGCTGCTATGAACACTGGTGTACAAATATCTGCCTAAGTCCCTACTTAAAACCATTTTAATCACCTTCTAGATTAGGTTCTCTATTCTTTACTGAACATCATTTATATACATATCCTTTAGCATCTACCTTGACTGCAGAACTGATTAAACAGCTGTAGTGTATTAATTTTTAATATAATTAGCTTAACTTAAAAGCTTATAATAAAATTTAATTAAACTATTAAATTACATCTGGTCAAATTAAAATTTTAGATTAAAAAATAATTTTGGCAGTTCCCATGTACTTTGAAAAACTACTGAAAACTACAGACTTTCTGCCCCTTTAATAAATAGATGTACACTAACATCTGTAAACAATTCAGGATGTTCATGGATCCCTTCGTTTTATCCATAGGTCCCGCAATTAAGTGTCTAGAATTTCTTTCACATACCCTTTAATGGACATTTCTGAGGCTTTGAAGCAGCATATTCATCCTTCATTCCGTAGTAGAGCCTGGCTAAATGTCTGCCAATAGGAAAACACATGATTGGGTTATGATTTCTGACCTGATGCCCGTTTCAGTGTGTTGAAATATTTGAACCATTCATTAACTCCTCATTTGGACACATTTCCCCATCTTGTTTATTCATTTACAACTTTAATAAATGAATGACATGAGTGGCACTGAAGTAGCAACCATCTCTAATGCTCACATGTACTAATGCTCCAACCAATATCTGGGATCACAAATGTGTTATAGTTAGAGGCCAATAGGATATTGGGGAGCATGATAGACAAAACCTGGACCACCTTGAACAGACTGTTAGTAGAAATGCAGATGTTAAGAACTCAGCTAATGACGACTCATAAGCATGGTAGAGAAAATCTAAGTTGTCTTAGACAATCATCCTAAACAGAATTTTAGTAGCAATGTAGATGTTAAACGCTTCTTGTTGCTGATAGTAAAATGTGAGAGGAAAGAGATAAATTGATGGAAGAACTATTAAACATAATGAAACCAGGACTTCATGATTTTGGGTATTCTGTCTAACCAGACTGCAACACATTCAAAAGTTAAGGGATTCACTGTGAGGAGAGCAATGAATTCGTTTCTCTCATAAAGAAAATGAGAGTTGTGGCTAGATAATGTTTTTGCTACTGCCTCTGAAAGATTAAAGGTCAGAATATTCAGTCTCACTGAAGTTCTTTGAAGATTAGGTTTGTGACTCATGGATCCCTCCAGCCATATCGGCAGATGCAAAAAATAGAGATGAAATTACCCTGTAAAAATCTGTGGAGCAGCCTGTTGTCCAGTGGATTGAATTCCCATGACATACCCAGGAGATCCACAAGGTACTTGAGAACTTTATACCACAATAAAAACTGCCAGTTTGGACTGAAAGAGACAGAAGATGACATGAAGGAAGGCTGTTAGACTCCTAAAAAGTAAGAAAGAGGCTGATAAACCATTCAACTGCAAACACATGGTACGTTTTATAAAGAACAAAGAAGTTGTTGAGCGTCAAGCAGTGAGCCCAGAAGGTAGATCTTCATGCTCATGGGGCTGAGTTTCAAATCACAGAGGATTATTTCCTGTCCTTAAAGCTTAATACTGTTTGCCCAGTTGGATATCAAAATTTTGTAGGACAGGCAACTCATTTTTCGCTTTCATTTTGTTCCATGTAGAGTGATAATGTCAATAACTGGTATTTTATACTTATCCCACTATTGTTTCCTGGGAGCAGATAACTTGTTTCCTAATTTCATAGGTTCACAGGTAGAGAGAAATTTTACTCCTGGAGGGATCATACCCAGACTGTCACTCATACTTGAAAAATTATTTGGATGATATAATTTGGGACTTTTCAGTTGATGATATTTAGATAAGCTTTTGAGCTAAGAGTTGATAGTGTACTGGTTTGAGACTCTTGGTGATGTTGAGATGGAGTGAATGTATTTTCCATGTGCAATGTACATGAGTGATTCAGGTACAGAGAGTGGAACATCAGAGAATGATGATGTCCCTTCAAAGATATCCATGACTTAATCCTTGGAACCAGTGAATATGCTACCTTAAATGGCAAAGGGATTTTGCCAATGTGATTAATGTAAGGATCTTGAGATGAGGAGATTATCTGGATTATGCAGTTGGGCTCGATATAGTTACAAGTGTCCTTCTATCAGAGCAAAGAGGACAGCAGAGTAAGAGAAGGAAATGTGATGATGGATGGAAAAGTCAGAGTGATGTGATTGCCAGCTGGAAGGAGGCCGTGAGCCAAGGAATATAGGCAGCCACTAAAAGCTGGAAAAGGCAAGAAAATAGATTGTCCTCTAGGGCTTCCAGAAGGAATGCAGAACTGCCCACACCTTGCTTTTATCCCAGCAAAACTTTTTGGGCTTCTGATCTCCAGAACTGTAAGATAATAAATTTATGTTGTTGTAAGCCACTAAATTTACAGTAATTTTTTACAGCAGCAATAAAAAACTAATACAGTCATCACAGGTGACAGGAGAATTCCGAGAGGCGCAAGAGAAAGTTGTTAAAACCTCTACAGTAAAGGCAACATTGGGAGGCACTCATTGCAGTGCTTATTGTATTGGAATTTGGACCAATTCTAGAGACTTCAGTTATTGGGATCCCTATTCAAAGTGGGTTGATTTTCAAGTAATAAGCATAAATGGACTTAAGTAAAACATATAAACAAGAAATACATTGTCTCCAGAATGCAAAAAGTCCTAAAATTGTAAGACTCATTGAAATATTGTGGTGCCGTGATGAATAGTTGTTTCTTGACAGTGTCATGGATAGAGAGGACTTAGACTGACCACATAATTCCCAGGAATATAATTGAGGTACTGGGCCTTGAGCTCTGTGTGGGGGCAATGGCACATCCCATGTGTGAGCTCCTTTGTGAATGTTTCCATGTCTTGAATGGGTGTGGCAAATGAATCTCCTTGGAGGAGGATGTCCTCAATGTAATGTCATACCTGTGCTCTTGGAGAAAGTTGGATGCGGTTAAGATCCTGTGGAAAAAGATTGTGACCAATTGTAGGGCTGTTGAAGTACCCCATGGGTAACCAGTTAAAGGTGCATTCTGTCCCTACCAAGGTAAAGGCAAACTACAGTTGAAAACCTGTTGAAATACTTACTGAACAGAACATATTAGCCAAATGTGTGATGGAAATTATTAAGCAGTAAACACTTGGACAGAGTCAGGAATTTCACTAAGATTGGGTATGTGAGTTTTCATGTGTGGGACCATGCATTAATATCTCCCCAATCCCCACACACAGTTAGGTTAGATGTCATGACTGAGGAAGGCACATACACATTAAGAGAGTATGAAAGATTTGTTTCTCAAATAATAAGACATTTTTGGAAGAGCAGGACAGGCTCCAAAGCAACTCTGAAAAATTGTTTTCCAGAGCAGGGAGGGATGTCTAGCTTGAGTTTTTATTGTGGGTAGGGGGTTGCAATGGGGTGACGATTCTCCCTAATTGGCCTGACTTTTATGGTTTGAGGCACCCATTAGGGCCAAAGGAGGGAGCATGGGGACTTTCTTAACAGCTTGGCCAGCTGAGGCACAGAAGTGGGAGTAGGAGACAGGGCTTGAAACCTGTCAACAGTCAAACATCAAAAACAGACTCAGACTTTGTATTACGGGTGGGTAATGGGGGAGAAGCCAAGTTGGTAAGTAAAAGTGCAGAGGACTGCTATTTCCATTAAGCCATTGAGTATGTTTTCCTGAATCACAAAAAAGATTTGGATGTATCACTTTAGATGATGAGAATGAATTTTTCTAAACCAGAAAGAGCAGAGGCTCTGGAATCAAAGAGACCTGTATTTAAATACAATCTCTACCATTTCCTATGTGTGCAACCTTCAGAAATTATCTTAAACTCAGTTACCTTTGTTTTCTCACCTGTAAAGTGAGACCAATAGTTATGCTTTCAGTAACAGCTTTAAATGGAAGCTTCCATCACTTTTAACTGAGAAGCATTCCTGAATGTTTGCATAGTTTTCAGTCCATCTTTTCAGTTTATAAGATTGAATGAGTGAGAAAGCAACCAAACGAAACAAAAATACTTCAAAAGGCAAACATTCCAATAAATATAAAATTATCGCCAGAAACAAATTTTGCTATCATCATGCTAATGTTTATCCATGTTGTGTGAAGTATTTAACATTTTTAACCCATTGGTGTTTTCTTAGGTATGAAAGAGGAAGAAAAATCATACCAAGTTATCACTTGGCTTCCACCTGAAGATCATAACAAAGTATTTTATAATTATTTGGATTTCCATAAGGAAGAAGCTTTGGCTGACAGGTAATTTCTTTTATTACTTCAACAAAAGATTCACTATTTTAGTGACACAAATGAACAGATTTATACGTGTATGCTTGGGCTAAGCATATGAGAAGTGGATGGATGGGTAAATGGATGTATGAGTGGATGGATGGATGGATGGATGAGTGGATGGATGGATAATGGGATAGGTGGTCAAGTAAACAATTATTTCTCACCAAATCATCCAGTCCAGTCACCGAAGATTCTTTCTTACTCTGTACTGTCCCTCTTCTACCATAACCATGAATATATTTGTGTAGAAAGGATTAGTTTTTCTTTCTGGGACCTTGCAATATTTCACTTACAGTCTTTGTCTATAATCTCCCCAACACAGAAGCATAGGTACCTCAACCTCTCACTGTTGATAGGGAAATGAGAGTTACCTTTTTCCACTTATTTTTCCTTTTTCTCATATATATTCATTAATAAAAGAAAGACTTATGAACATTGGCTTTGTAGTGCTTGAACATCTGGCCATGTAAAGTCCTTTTAAAAAGCGTTCAACCTTGGGTCCTGCCCGGTGGCCTAGCTGTTAAGTTTGCGCGTTCTGCTTTGGTGGCCCAGGGTTCATGGGGGTTCGGATTGCAGGCACGGACTGACACACCACTTGTTAAGCCATGCTGTAGCGACATCCCATATAAAGTACAGGAAGATGGGCCCGGATGTTAGCCCGAGGCCAATCTTCCTCAGCAAAAAGAGGAGAATTGGCAATGGATGTTAGCTCAGGGCTAATCTTCCTCAAAAAAAAAAAAAAAAAAAAGCAATCAACCTCATGCAAAGTAAGACATGAAGCCAATTCCTTTTGCTTCGTCTTGAATGGAAAGGAATACATAAGTCCTTAACCTTAGACATAAAAGTGGAAAGACAGAAATCTGTGTCTATCTTGGTTAATTAAAGTGGCCTTATCCCTTCCTTTTACCTTGAAAATTCTACCTACTAGTCAAGGTCCTGCTCAGATATGACTTTTTACATAAAGCCTTCTTTCCTCACTCAAATTAGAAGATCCCAGTCCTTCCAATACAGGTCTGATCTAACCCACTCATTTGACACTTACTGTTACTGTATATGATTTTGCATTGTTCGTTATATATTTTAAGTATATGTTTTGTCTCTTCTTCCCTAATTTAATATTTTTGAGGACAGGTATAGGTAACTATGCATTCTTGAAATTTTTTCTATTTATTAGTTAAATTATAAATGTGATTAAAGAACTATATTCTAGGAATTTTATAGTGTTACTGAAATTATCTAAAATATTTGGCAACCACTCCTTTGATAGGTGAAATATTTAAAAATACACAGCAGAGGAGGATTTCAGCCAGTCACTTCTATTGCGTGATTTGAAGTTGATCCTAAAGATCAGACAGAAGTTTGCATATTGCTAATGAGTTCTCAGCCTATTAGCCTTCTCTATCTGAGGTGTGATATTGCAGTGGTATACAAATAAAAGTTTCCTAGGGTTTTGATTCTCTTGGCCCTCCATGCAGCCACCAGGCCCCTGACGTCTTGAGCCCTTGCACTGTTATCTCTGGTATCTTAAAGTGCAGATGGGCATCCTCATCTATTTCCCCATATGTTGTACTAACTGGAAACAGATTCATATTCTACACAGGCAGTGATGGGAAAGCCTTGCGAGAAGTTGGTCCCTGGAATAATCCCATAAGAGTCTTAATTACATGTCAGTAAGCTTTGCCAATATCTTCTTTGGATACTTCAGCCTTTATTGAAGTGGAAAGGCTAATAATGTGTTTAACAACCAGGCTTTTTTTTTTTTTAGATTGATTAACCCATGGGCATAGAAAGGTGGAAGTCCTATTTTTAGCTGAGATTATGAGTGTTAATACGATCAAAGTGTCCCTTAGGTGAGGTGATCTGTCACATGCAGAATACACAGCGATTTTTTAAAAAAACCTATATGTCAATATTTTGGGTACTGTGTCATCAAGAAAATCTCAGTTTGGCTGATTAAACAAGAAAATCACTTATAAAAAGTCAGTATGTAAATGAAAGTTAAGGAGAACATCCCAGAATTTATCAAGTAGAAAGAGATCTATGAGGTCACCCATGGTCATAGAAGGCTCTCAGAGTAGAAAGCCGACAGTGGGAATTTGATTTTAGTTAAGGTAATTCTACTGCACCCACGGATTTCAAGAATTGAGAGACCCAAGATAAATTTTCTAATGAACTGGCTTAGAGAGTGCTTGGGATGTGGATCAGAGAGGAGAGGGGAGAGGAGGAAGGAAAGACTCTCAGGAACAGAACATCTGCCAGCATGACTGAGAAGAAGGTATTAATGGACATGGTGGAATAGGATGCTGCTGCTAGGTGTGGTCCTGCTTACCTGGAAAATTCCCTTGTAGCCCAAGATTCTTTTATGTATTGTGAAATTAACACTTCCAGTGAATATTTATCATTTATTTTCTTTCTCTCAGAGACAAATTTGAAAACTTTTTAAAATTCATGGAACTGCTGGGACTTCAGTGCAGTCATTTACTAAAGAGAAATGATATCTTGGATTCCTTAAAGAGTGAGAACTTCGACCTGATAATTCTTGAAGGATTTGACTCGTGTTCTCTTCTGATTACTGAGAAGCTTGGGAAGCCATTTGTGTCCATTATTTCCACCACATTTGGCTATCTGGACATTGGGCTACCAAGCCCCTTGTCTTATGTGCCTGTATTCTATTCCATGCTAACTGACCACATGGACTTCTGGGACAGAGTGAGGAACTTCCTGATGTTTTTTGTTTACTCCATTAAGCAATGGCAAATCCATTCCACATTTGACGACACCATCAAGGAGCATTTTCCCAAAGGATCTAGGCCAGTTTTGTCTCATCTTCTAAAGAAAGCAGAGTTGTCATTTGTTAACTCTGACTTTGCCTTTGATTTTGCTCGACCTCTCCTTCCCAACACTGTGTATGTTGGAGGCTTAATGGCCAAACCTGTTAAAGCAGTACCACAAGTAAGTAAAACCTTAGCTGTCAATATGGACTTCATGCAGAGGTCTTCAGTGCAGAGCTGGTGGCTGCCCTTGCCAGCGGTATTGTGGGAGTGAGGTAGGGTTAGGCAAGTGAGGCAGCTAAGGCACACATTTTAAGGAAGCACTCACTTTCAGGGTCATGCAAGTAGAGTGATAGGACTTGCACATCCCTGAGATTGAGGACTTCCTTAAATGGTACACTCAGGATCATCTCTTGCCTCACCCTAATCCTGGCCCTAGTGGAATAAGACTTTTCATAAGTTGATATTTTCATTTGCATTTTGTATGATCATATGTACACTAAGTATGCAGTAAGCCTCCATCACATGTCACATGCAAGAATTATTAAGGTGGTGAGTTACTCACAATGAAACACACACAACTGTGGGACAAGGTGTAACCAAGGCAGGACTGCATGGCACTGACAAAAGGCATTTTCTCCAGTATCCCCAGGCTGTAGGGCTGGTTCCTAACTCCACCTAGACCTCCCGATTGGTTGATCTGGGGTGAAGCCTGGGCATTCTAAGTTGTAAAAGCTGCCTAGGCGTTTTGAATGCATAGACTCAGAACCACTGCTAGAAGTTTTCAAAATGGAGGGAACCTGAGATTTGTTGACTGTCTGTTGTCTATCAACACAGGGTTGCAATTTATGGAATTTACCTTACATGCATATATATATATATATTACCACCCAGAGGGAAGTATGATGATCTCCATTTGTATAAATAAAAGACAGAGGCACAGGTGGTGAAAGTGACTTTCCTGCCATCATTCATTTCAGGAATGAAATGATTGACACCAGGAAGTGTCCTGATTTCTCCTGGGTCTTCCAGACACCGATGTGCCTACCCTTCCTCTACTGACCTTGCATTGTGCAGTCAGGAAGAAGCAGAGAATGATGCATGGGTTAGATGGTCTGTGAGTTGGTGGCAGGATTTCTTAGGAATGATCTGGGAGGGAAGGCATTTCAGATGAGGAGAACAGGGAGCCCCAAGTGTGGAGGTGGAAGTGAGATGGCCATGACTCTGGGTTCCCTTGGTGACTCTGTCTAGACTAGAAAGTGGAAGATTCAATTCACAAATATAACCTGGGCTGATTACAGGAAGTCTTATCCAGGAGGGTCACTCAGGCCTTGTCCATAGGGCTGGGGAGGGAATTGCTAAGCAGGAGTATAATTGGAGTAAGGGTCACAATGGCTGTGAGATAACAGAGGCAATTAAACAATTTCTTTGTATTTCCAATTTCTATATAATGGTTTTCTGTCGCTTTTGTAATTATAAAAGGCTGTTTTAAAGTGGTCCTTAGAGATGGTAACTCAGGCAATGTTATGATGGATAGAATCAACCCAGTAGGATGAGGGTTAGGGATTGAGAAGGAGCCAAAGAAATGCAGAGAGAGTCAGGATCCTAAGAAATTTTGGAAGTCAAAATTGACAAAACTGTGCTAAAGCCTCAATTACATTAGGTCACAACTCTTCTTAAGAACTTCCTGTGAGACTTTAAAAATAAGGTGCCCAGGTTTGGAGTTTTGACTGAGCATTGTCATTTTTAAGAATATCCCCATGTAGGTATACTTTGCAGTCATGTGGGTGACCCACTGAGGTAGGAGATGGACTACAAAGATCGGTGGCTGAGAATATCATGGAATGTCAGAGCAAAGCCCACTACATGGTGCATTGGGTGTGGTGGCCAGGTGCCTTCCCTATTCTGCCTCCACTTCTTATGCCAGAGTCCTTCTCTCAGCTTCTCCTCTCCGCTCTCCAGAAGCTGTAACTCCTCTGCTGGACCCTGATCCCCACTGGAATTCTACCTTACACTACCACCTCTGTTCTGGCTTTGGATAAAACACAAGTGACCATGTCTCCATGCACAATGAGTAGAGAGTCTGGAATGGCTCTGCTACTAGAGTCAGGGTATCAAAGTGGAAAGATGTTCCCACCAACACCCCAGGCATGAGCACAATGTAGAGGGTGCTCCTAGGGGTATGATTATAGTTTCAGGATGGTGAACTCTAGGAGTGACAGGAAAGTATGTTCAATAAATAGCTGACTTTCATTTCATGGCTATCCCGGCTTTCATGGCCAACTTTGTTCACCTCCTTTGCTTTCTTACCTCTCTCCAGGAATTTGAGAATTTCATTGCCCAGTTTGGAGACTCTGGCTTTGTCCTTGTGACCCTGGGCTCCATGGTGAGCAGCTATTCATCCCAGGAGCTTCTCAAGGAGATGAACGGTGCCTTTTCTCATCTCCCTCAAGGGGTTATATGGAGATATGAACGTTCTCACTGGCCCAAAGACATCAAATTGGCAGCAAATGTGAAAATTGCGGACTGGCTTCCTCAGAGTGACCTCCTGGGTAAGGACTACCCAAGTCTGCCTCCCTCATCTTATTTAAATGTTTTTAGGGCTCATCAGGGCTCTGACCTCTAGTTGGGCAATCCCATAATCATGAGAAGGAGCTTCTGCTAGCTAAAGGTAAGTCTCCAGAGGGCAAGAATGGGGCAGCCAGCTAGAGGTCTTGGGGAATCAGGCCATACTTGCAATGAGATCAGATGCGAAAGCAGTCATCTCCCCTTCAATCCTTTCTGTCCCAAGCTGGATGTCAGTAGCCGTAAAAGTCACATTGACCTACTGCTTTGGTCTTGAACAAAGTCACCCAAACACAATCCTAAATAACCTTTTGAAATCTGAGAACAAACACCAGGGGCAGGTTGCCACTGTGTTTAGTCTCTTCAAGAGCACCTGTTCACCTAAGTGCCCTTACACAGACATCCACACCCACACCCACACCCACACCACACACACACACAGATACCTTCTCCTTAGGTGCTAAGGTCTGAGTGACTCATACCTTCACAACATTGATGCCCACAGCGTCTTTAGAATGTGCCAAAATACCTGAGTGCCAAGCTGAACAACCTCATAGTCAGTTATTTGGTCCATTGAGTTTCCGGTACCAGAGAGTCCCCTCACTCTCCAACAGGTTTGCTCTGTGCCCCCCGATGCTTCTAAGAGACTCCTCACTGCCATAGCTGCTGGCTGGATCAGAGGCTGTTAACGAAGATGATGACTCAAAATCATCAGGGGAAATTAAGAAACAGATTCCTGAGTCTACTTCTGCAAATGTATTTCATTAAGTCTGGGGCAGGGCACATAATTCTCATTTGAAAGGTGACACAAGGAGATTATGATACACATCCCAGTTGAGTGGCACAAGCTGAGATGAACTCTTCATTATCAACAATCATTAGTTAGCTTTAAATAAGGGTGGCATGGAAACTCTGAACTAGAAATATTGAGTTGTAGGATGTAGTCTCTGCTTTCAATGATGTTTTCATATATTTGAGGAGACACACATACAGTGTACTTTTATGAGTGCCATATGAGTTGTGATGTCAATGAGTGTGTTAGGAATTCAGAGAAGAAGGAAATTAGTTGGCAGGTGGGAAAGGCTTGCTCAAAACAAAGAGGGAGACAGAGACAAAGAAAGAGACACAGGGAGACATACAAAAAAGCAAAAATGAGAGAAGTAAAGAAAGGCACTGGAATGATAGAGACAAGAATGGATGGATGGATGGATGGATGGGTGGGTGGATGGATGGAGATATATGCCTTGCTTAGCACTATTCCCTACAGTATTCCCTAGATTCTTGTTTTTAGCTGGGTTCCGACTGTGGCAAGGAGTCTCTGTACAAAGGCAATGCTTGGAATTCTGAATGTTGGAGCATGCACCTTGAATTTGCCCCAAGCAAAATTATTTTTACAGTTCTTCCAACACACTTTGAGAATCCATAATTATTTTCTTCTGCCCTCCTACTTTACCTGATATCCAGAAACTTTTCATCCCAAAATGTTCTGCTCTCTTTCTTATTTGCAACAGCTCACCATAACATCCGTCTCTTTGTCACTCATGGTGGGATAAATAGCATCATGGAGGCCATCCAACATGGCGTGCCCATGGTGGGGATTCCCATCTTTGGAGACCAGCCTGAAAACCTGCTCCGAGTAGAAGCCAAAAAGTTTGGTGTCTTTATCCAGTTAAAACAGATCAAGGCTGAGACACTGGCTCTGAAGATGAAGCAAGTCATAGAAGACAAGAGGTATGTGGGTCTCTGGGCTTGTGGTCACATAGGGTGAATGAAGACATCAAACAAGAAGGGCACCGTGTGGGTCTTTTTTGCATTAAAAACTGCAACTTCCAGGATATGGAATAATATGTGTGTGATGCTAACAGCTGACCTGAGTCCTCTCTGAGCAAGACTAGACAATTTAGGTTAGATGCTCAGAATAATTTTCTACTTTATGGGTTGTGAGGAAACCAACAAACTTACACAGGTCTCTTTGAGAGGTCTTATATTTTGGTTGCTTTTAGTAGAATTCCAACTGAGTAGGAGGTTGCCTTTCCATCTCCAATATGTCACACTGCTCCCTACCTCATGACCTTTGCCTGAGCTGCTGCCTAAAACACTCCTTCCTGTCTCTTCACAGGGCTGTCTCCTTCTTCCCATTTGAGCCTCATCTCCGCTGTTGTTTCCTTAGAGAAGACATCTTTGTTTGTCATTCGTAACTAGAGTCATGTCTCACCCACTCCAATCATTGTTTCCTTCTTAACATTTCTCAGGATCTCTAATTACTCCATTTCTTTAGATTTTAATTTATTGTCTGTCCCGCAATAGTAGAAAGTAGAGAGTAAGCTCCCCCAGGACAGTAGTCTGTGTCTCTTGTTTTCCATGATGTTCCCAGGGCCTAGCACAGGGCCTACTACAAAGTAAATCTGAAGGAATTTCTGTTAAGTGAATCAATAAAAGGGCCCATAGATCTCTTAGGTTACTTCCCATTGAGCACAAAGATCTGTTGTGAAGAGAAAAATATATATTTTTTTTCTTATAACTAAGAAGGACTGAGTAACCTGGAGTTTCAAGGGCACAAACCTGAATTAGACCTCAAGACCTAACAGACGCCTTGCACATAAGAGCCCTGCAAGCAGTTCTTGTTAGATGGCTGAAAAACAGACACAGCTTGTGATTCTTAGCCCTAGAAAAGGTGTTAAGCCCTAGGGGTCAGAAAAGTCAGAAATTTTAATATATATTTGGTATCTTATGTGTTGCAAATGTTCACTTTCTGAAGAATGGGTTTCTAACTTTCATTGGATTTTCAGAGGCCTAGATGCAAAATGACCATGAACAATTGGCCACCGTTATTGGGAGTCATTTGGGCTAAGATGGTCCCCAGACATCATGGATCAGGGCTGGCTTCATAACCTGTGAGGCCTGGGCAAGTGGAGCCCCTTCTTATACAGTTGAAATATTTCAATGAGGTGAGAGCAGAGAATTAAATCAATCACAGGACCCGTGTAAGTGTGAGGCCCTGTGCAAACATGCAGGCGGCAGCCCATGGAGCCAGTGCTGGTCAACACGATGCTCTGAAGGCCAGGAACGTGCAGGTGTCCTCCTGGGTGCAGTCTCCAGAGTCATATCTGTCACTTTTTCCAGACACCACGACAAAGTAGGTGTGCGTGCACTCTCTCTCTCTCTGTATTTAAATTACATCATGTATAATTTTCTATAGTATATCATAAACCTCCTTGGGGTAGCGAGTAATCCTTAAAGACTTAGTCACTCTTTTGTAGCTTAGTTTGCACTAAGCATGGATGGCTGCATGTAGGCACCAGTTGGAACTTTACAAGGGGACCCAGCTAGACAGTGGCAAGACCAGGCTGACAACTTTTCCTTGAAATGGAGTCTTTTGTGCATATGGTGGAAAGTGCCTTGCGTGTGATACAAGGTTTCCAAGGCTTCTGAGGCCACAAGAGTCATGCCCTGCCTCTGTCTCTGCCAACAGGTACAAATCTGCAGCATTGGCCGCCAGCATCATCAAGGGCTCCCATCCTCTGACCCCTGCCCAGCGGCTGGTGGGCTGGATCGACCACATCCTCCAGACAGGGGGTTCTGCACACCTCAAACCCCACGCCTTCCAGCAGCCGTGGCATGAACAGTACCTGCTCGACGTCTTCTTGTTCCTGCTCGTGGTCACCGTGGGCACCGTGTGGCTCTGTGGGAAGCTGCTGGGTGTGGTGGTCAGGTGGTTGTGTGGAGCCAGGAAGCTGAAGAAGGCCTGACGCCAAGAGCAGACTTGCGGAGCTTTATTTGCGGGGGTGGGGGGTGGTTACCATTTCTTTGGAGCCCCCCACCGGTACTGGCAATCCTTGTTCTCCACATCATATCTACTTGCTAATTTTGCAACATATTCCTGCTCACTCACTTCTTCCTATGATCAGATTTCTTTACTCAGCTTTTGTGGCCTTCTTTGTGTGCCAGTCAGCAAGGGATGTTGTGTGATTCTGTCCCTGGGTCATTTAGACCATTGACCCTCAGATTTTAAGCCTTCAAGCCCACCTTCTTTATCATGCCTGAGCCTGAACCACTCCAGCCTCCAGGGCCAGTGTCTTCTGAGCCTCTTTCCCTTACTCTTGCCTCCACCACTTGTCGTGGAATAACACCTAAGATGGGTGCTTTCATAATTCTTTCATTTCCCGTTTGCTTCACCTGCAGACTCTTGTCAAAGTTCAGGAAGCCTGTCCTGCACATGAGTCTTCAGGGCTGGAATTATCCTTGCAGGACCGTGTCTGACTCATTCCTTGGTTCCCACAGAGACCACTTTCTTTTCTGATCAGGCATGGAGCTTGCAGTTTGGTCATGGGCTCAAGTGGCCTTGGTCTCCACGTTTCATAGTAGTAAGCTGTCTTTCAATTTTCCCACTAAAAACATCAAGTCAAGAGGGGCCTGGCCCTGTGGCATAGTGGTTAAGTTTAGTGCGCTCCACTTTGTGGGTCTGGATTCTGTTCCCAGGTGCGAGCCTACACCACTTGTGGGCCGCCATACTGTGGCGGCAACCCACATACAAAATAGAGGAAGTTTGGCACAGATGTTAGCTCAAGGCGAATTTTCCTTAAGCAAAAAAAAAATAAAAGACAAAGATTGGCAATAGATGTTAGCTCAGGGTGACTCTTCCTCAACAAAAAGAAAAAGTCATGAGAAAGGAGGTCGTTTCTTCTTAAACTAAGTGTGTTGTTGTGTCTCTTGAGGTTGAGCCTTTACTTATGTGACATATTCTTGGGAATTGCATCCACTTGATAGTAATAGAGACCAGAAAAAAGTGGCTATGACAGCTTAGGGTTTTCTTCTTTTTCCTCTTTTTTTCTCATGTAAAAGAGATGTGTAGGAATGCAGGCAGTCCAGGAGTAGTATGGTGGCTCCATGATATATTCAATAATGCAGATCTATTGTTTGACTGATCTGCCTTCCTTAGTAGGTGGCTTTCATCCTCAAGGTCGCCCTGGATTTTCAGGATGGATAATAGCAGGAAACTAGAGCCTTGGCCACATTTGGAGGGCATGCAGGGAGGGGCAGGATTGGATGTTTTGTTCCACCTGTGACCCTGTGACTCAGTGTCCTCAGGGACAGTCTTAAACCAACAGTGACCATCTGTGGGTGGAAAGCAGACCTTTCAGAGTGGTGAACATGCAAAATAGGAACAGTAGTCCTTTAATATTCTGAAGTGTGTTATGCTTTCCTAATTCTTTCATCTCCTTTCTGCCGTGTAGTGAGGTAGATGTGTCTATTCAGCCCAACCCAAAGAAGCAGGTGCCAGCAGAGGCAACCACACATGTAGAGGGAGCCCTTGTGCAAATGGAGACAACAGCAGCAAAACCTGTTGTCTCCTCCAACCCAGGCACAAGGCTTGGGGAGTGGAGATGGGCTGGTTTTAGGCCCCACTGGTCCCTCTTGTGGGCACGTCCTTGCAATGAATAACCTGCCCTACCACATGGTGGTCCTACCAGGTAGACCCATCCCACCCAGGGAGATTCCATGCCCACACATGCAGAGGACAGTTTGATCAGCTAGGGAATTCTCTTGGGATATTTTGTTTTAGGGGCATTTTTTGCCCCTAAGACCTAAGGAGGCTCCTTTCTCTATGCTAGCCTTTAAATTAGTTAATCATTTAATTTTTTTTAAGTATTCAAATGAAATATTCAGAACTTTAGAGACACACATCTGTCAAATTGAATTTTCTACAAATTTCTTGAAATTTCATCTCAAGATAACAGTAAGTAATAATCAGATAACACTTGCACTAGTGATTCAGTCCTCTGGGTTTGTTTTTTGTTTTTTCCTGATGAAAAGTCCAAGATGAATTTTGACAGATCTCCTTTTGTTAGGGCAAAAGCAAAGCAAAGAAGTTTCCACAAAGAAGGATGGAGGCCCCTCCATTGTCTGTAGATGAGATCCTTGAGAAGGATGGAAGCCAGTGACCCCTCTTCCTTTCTCAATTGTGGTATTTAGAGCTTTGCCCACTACAGAGATTTTACAAATGAGCAAGCCTACAAAATATGCCAGAGAAGAGAGTTCCAGACATAAAGACCAAATAATAGTTTATTTTATTTCACTCCTTCTACTTATTAAAATCTCTCTCCTGGAAGGTTATTGAGCTAGACTTTTTGTTCCATATTCCTTTAGTGACCATTTATGAACTTCATATTGTCTCAGATGAAAGATATTGTCATTTGAAATCAATTAGCCACCAGTAACAGAAAGCCTCAGTGGAGGGGCTTAAGTCAGTGGCCTTCAATCTGGGCTCTCTGTACCTTAGTGTGTGCATGAAGACTTCTCCAGGGCTGCAGGGTACAGAGGATTTGGAGGTGATAATTCTCACACCTGTGTGTACTCTAGTTTCCTAACTCTGGTCTGCCTAACAATGCGCTGTGTTTGGGTGATAGAGTATCTTTCCTGCTACACTTTTCACAATTTCCTGACTCATATTACAAAGAAATGCACACCTTTCACCCATCCCTATTCTCACTGTGGTGCGTTGCCCCAGGGTGGAAAAACAGGAATACCAAATGGACAGTTTGAAATCTAATGACTGGGCAAGAAACACTTTGTCATTAAAGTGACTTACAATTCTTTATTTTTAACAAAATTCAAGGATGAACTGTGATTTTCAGCTGTTAAGCAATTAAAAATAACTTTGATGATGGATTTCTATGAGATTTTTGGCACAGTATTCTGAAGGTGTTCAAAGAATGGAGGAGCGTTATTTTCAAGATGATCATAACAAAACTCCTACTATTCATGTTACTTATTGATGTGAATAATTTTTTCAGTGTTTCCATAACTAAGAGATATTGATATAAACCTGTCTCATTCCAGAAGCAGATAATGTTTATCTACAGACACATGAATTAATTTTAAATAAATTGAGGTGCCAGCCCAGATGTGTAGCGGTCAGTTCAGTGTTCAGTTTTGGCGGCCCAGGGTTCGCCGATTGGGATCCTGGGCGTGGACCTATGTACCACTCATCAAGTTATGCTGAGGTGGTGTCCCATATAGAAGAACTAGAAGGACCTACAAGTAGGACATACTACAATGTACTGGGGCTTTGGGGAGAAAAAAGAAAAAATAAAGAGGAAGATTGGCAACTGATATTAGCTCAGGGCAAATCTTCTTAAAAAAAAACAAAACAAAACAAGAGAGAGAATCAAGAGCAAATAAAATGATTATCTTAAAAAATTTTAAGTGAATTAAAAAACAGCCCCTTATCTCATTATGAGATATGTATTTTATGTTCAGTAATTGTTAATCAAATTTGAAGTATGTTTATGTTGCTTTGCCTCATTTAATGCAATTATTAAAACTTAGAATGGTAACTTGGTAAAAATATTCAACTCTTAGAGCTTTATTGTTATAGGAAATAGAAATATTAATTTGAATTTGAATACATATTATTGATGCTTAAGGTTAAATAGAATACTCAATACAATTCTTTCAAGGATAAACACATACAGAGTAGAATTAAATTCTGTGGGGAAAGTGAACAGAAATAACAATTCAAGAAGAAATGGAATGATGAAATATTTCCAATTGATAATGAGGCACTTATCTCTGTCAAGAATGGACGATGGTGAGTATCCAACTGCTGACACATTTACAACCACTGCATCAATTGAACAATGATGTAACTGTTCACTTTAAAAGCACAACATTTACAGTGCACCAGAAATGGCATCCTGCTCAATTATTTAACTTATGATGAGAAATTTTAGATGTCCATTTAAAAATGTATTCTTTCAAAGAATTGTTATTGTTAGGTATAGTTGAGAAAAAAATTCTGAAAATCACAATTTTTTTTGTCATTGGCTTACACAAAATGAGAGTTATTTTTCCTACATAAAAAGTAGATGGGAAATAGGCAACTGATCAATATGTCTACAATGTCAAGAAGAATCTTTACAATTCTTGCCCATTAATTCCTGGTGGCAAGTTGGCTGCCCAGCTCCAGATATCATGTCCGCGTTCCAGGAAGGACAAAAAAGCCGAAAGGGCAATATGAGCTTCATATATCACTTTGATCAAGAGAGTAAGAGTTTTCACAGAATTACATTCCCCTCTCCTCCCAGCCATGAGACTTCTGTCCTCATTGCCCAGAATTCTGTCGCCTGGCTACTCAAGCCTGCAAGGAAAGCTGGGAAAATCTCTGCACTGGCAGTTGGGGAGGACAAACAGAGCTGCAAGTGGGTTCAGATTATGCAACCTGTAGTGTCAGAAGCAGATGGAAAATGGGTAAAAAACCCTCCACAATGCTTGACCCATCAAAGCAGAATTTTCTGGGTTCTGATGTTTTGTCCTGGTCTATATTGATACACCAAATCAGCCAGCAATCTTGGACATAACGGAAAATCAAAACCTTTGTCTTCTGGTTACAGTCTCTTGCTGGGCCTGAGGAAGCACTTGGCCCAGAGTTGCCCTCAATGACTTTCTAAGTGCAATGTGGACCACAGGCAGAGAGAGGGAGGGGATGATCTCCATCATGGAGCCCCAGCCGTCGATTCCTGTGCAGATGAGAAGGCGGAACGGAATTGTGGCCGTTGATTCAAAGCACAGCACAGAGAGGGCTGGGTGCTGTCTCTCAAGGGACTATTGCTACAGCCTTAAGTGGTATAAGAAGGGTGAAAGTCATCCTATTTAGAGTTCTATTGAAAATGTGATTTGCAAATGGATTCTCATTTTATTCAGCATGGCTCTGAAATCTGTGCAAAAGACTAGTGACCAGGGGGTAAGT